AGGTGGTGGCCATTAGTTTTAGCGTGCTATGCATTTTCTTGCTTCACTTTTCTTTATCTTTCTCATACATCCGACTTAGCGTCTAGCTCGCGGCGAGATTCACCCAGTTTTTAGCAATGTTAGCCCGCCCGGTCGTTCAATCATAGCTGCAGGTCTCATGCATATTGATGTTGAGGACTGGACTCGGTCGGATTAGGCTCCTAGGGGAAAGCGTTGTCGTGTCGTTCTACCCGTAGGTTCCCTAACCTCTCTTAACAGGACACCATCGTCATCATGTGACCGTACATTCTGAGAGACTCATTGTGTCTGTAGCCAGGCTCAAGTCCTTCCAATCCAACCAGTATCACAATTTGTTGAGAAGACAGAAACCGAATTACAGATTGTTTAAATAGCAAAGAGAGAGTCTCCTTATGTTCGAATCCTCAATCACACTCTCCTTCGTCTTTGCCAAACTCAGAAAAAGTAGCTGATACTCAAAAAGTTGTCTCTCCCTGCATCTCTCAGCTTGCCCTCATGTCTTTTGTCAAGTTTCAGGTCAGCAGGCATTGTTTCACACAAAGTCCCACATCCTTGCCTTGACTAACTCTGTTTCTAGGAAGCTACTTAACAAAATACCACCCCCCGCCTTTCTCCCTGATTGGTTTGCCGAGTCTCAGCGCCCCTATTTTACATCCAACCGTGCCATCCAACCGCTAGTTTGCCAACCCTTAATTTCCAGTATCCCGACCCGTTCTTTGGCGCTTAGCGCCCCTGCCCTCCTCTGTCTTTGGTGGCGGCGCCACCCCTAGCCCGTAGGTCCGTATCTCGTCCAGTGTTGCCTTCATATCATGTAATGTTTCTTTTGAGAAAAAGTCCGTTGGCGTGACCCTCTCCCCAGCCGCCATGAGGCTACGGGCTATAATAATCCAGTCATGTCTGAAAGTGTTGGCCCACACCTCAAACCAATGACTGGGTGTGGGGCCGAATACCTCCTCCCAATCATGGACCTCCTCTGAGGCCCTGCTTGTTGATGCCTGTCCTTCCGGCCTGGGCCTTGAGACCCTATCCATCTCGTTATCGCTACTTACAATTACAATCTCCGGAATGTCCTCCCTGTCTCACTGTCATCTTCTGTGGATCCCTTGGCGTCTTTCCGACTTCCCTGCCCAGGTTCTTCCTTGTGTTGATCCTCTGTCCCTTTTTCTTCCCTCCTTTCCTCCCGTTCTTGCTCACTTTCATCCTCTGGCCAGGCTGGGAGCACATCGCCTTCTTTTGTAGGGGAGGGTCTACAGGCTCGCATCTTCCTTTTTCCTGTCCTCACAGGGGGACGGGGTTGCGGTCCTATCACGAGCACCAGTCTGTTTCTGTTTTGCGGCCTCTCTGGTTGCGGCCATGGGTCATCATCATTGATGTTTGCTTGATTAATATCGTTCTCGTTGTTGGGTGCCATCTTGGTCCACCTGACTTCTATATCTGAAAGGCAGGACACAAGACAGGAGAAAGCCCCAACCCATTCCCTTGTGACACTCATCCCAGGCTCTGCCCACACGTGTCCCCCAATCCCGGTTGCTCCCACGGAAACAGAAAGGCATGAAGAAGAAAAAAAAGGAGGAACAACCAACCACCTCGCCCCCTTTTCCCAACGCCTCTCCAATGCCATGTCTTATGGTACAATGTCCCATCCCCCATTGCTCATCCCAGTATCCCACAAAAACTATGATACAAAAAAACCCCGCCGAATCGCACATTTTCCCATGCAACTCGTGCACACCCAGACCGTCAAAAGGAAAGAAACACACAAAAAACAAAATACAACAACCAGAAGCACAAGCGATAAGTAGGCCTCTTGCCACTGTCCTGAGCGGCCTTTGTCTTCCACCTCCTTATCCTGGGCTTCTTGCAGCCATTGTTCCACCGGATCCCTTGTGAGAAACCTGACCAGTCGTTGCGCAGGGACTGGCCCCCTTATAGTGATCCCATCCAGGTTCTCAATCTCAAACGTGCTCACACCCAATTTTCTTGCAATACGGTAAGGTCCCTTGAATCGCCGCCCCAACTGGCCTGACCATGTAGTTTCTAGTGCCGAATTTCTGACTAGGACCATCTCCCCGACCTGCAGAGGCTCTTTCCGGATGTTCTTCAACTGGTCCCACCTGTTTTTGTCCTTCATGCGATTGTCTAGTACCTTGTGAGCTATTTCTTCCAAGGCTTCCTCGTTTCTGGCCGCTTGTTCACACCTTGCCTCAGTCAATTGTTCCGTAGTCAGATGAGGGTCATCTTCCAATTTGTTCCAGGTGGGTACTAGGGCCTCTACCGGAAAGTCAATCTCCCTGCCATACCATAGCTCTACCGGGATGCATCCCGTCGTCCTTTTTGGTGTCATATTCTCGACAAATACCGCGTGTCTGAGATAGTCCGGCGAGTTTTCAAGGTCATCTGATGCGAACTTTGCAATCGTGTTCTTAAGCGTTTGGTGCCCTTGCTCGACTGGCGCGTTGGCCTCAGGGTGGTATGGTTCTGTCAATTTGATCGGTACTCCAAGCCTCTTGCAGGTATTCAGGACGTCCTGGTTCACAAACTCAGTCCCATTGTCGGCTATGAATCTCCTGATGAATGGGTGCCTCAGATAAAAGTCCTCCACCCAGTCTGCAACTGCAAACCCACTTTTCTTCTTGAGCGCGGTTGCCTCGACAAACCCACTAAGGTTATCCCTTGCGTCAAGTATGTACCTGTACCCTTTTCTGGAAACCGGCATGACTGCTAGGTCGAGATGTACCATATGCCCTGGCCCCAGCATGTGGGTGGGTCTAAGTGGCTCGAAAATGCGGATCGTGCTTCGTTCTTGGCAGATTTTGCAGGTCTGGCAGTACGTGGCTATCATAGATGTCATTCCCGACCAATAATAGAGCGGCGTTATCTTGGTTAGGGTCCCTTTGGATGAGCGATGGCCACCGGCCAATCCGTAATGCATGGCCTGAATAATGTCGAGCTGTCGCATCCTTCCATAGACTATTTTCCTGGGCGTCAGGCCTTCCTCCTTTCGGAATAGGTGCCCCCTTCTAAGCACATACCTATCCGCTTCCTCACTAGCTTTAGGACTGACCTCGTGGGGTTCCTTGTTTCCCACCAGTAGCAACCCAATTTCTCTGAACAAACCTTCATATGACTTGATGAGGAAGAACTGTTCTTCTTCCAGAGTACCCGTCTGATTATTATCCACCGGATAGGCCTGATAGTGCTGCATCTCCAGCTTCTGAGACTCCATCATGCTCATAACCCTTCTCCAGCCTCCCTCAATGGCTAGTGCGATTTGTTCATTCCGGGGCTTCACAACACTGCCCCAGACATCCTTCTCTTCCCTCCTTCCAACTCTGGTGACCGTTCCTTCCCTTAACTCGGCAACCACTTTCGGAGGCCCCTTTTCGAGTGCTTTGATCAATAGCTCCCCAGTTGTGCAAGTGGTTCCGGCCATCTCGCTGTCTACTACCAGCGTCCCGCCCTCGTAGTCGAGGAACGCGTCCATCGGCTCTGCCTCTTCTAGCCCTTCGGGTGTGAGAGCCACCCTGCTCAGTCCGTCTGCTCGATTCCTAAGGCCGGCTATACGCTCAATCCTATAGTCGAACTGCCAGATAAATCCTACCCATCTTCCAACAGTCGGTTCTATAGGCTTATAGTTCTTCAGGGCCCAGGCGACATTGGTTGGGTCTATCCTCAGGATAAACCTTCTCCCGAAGAGGTAAGCCTGAAAGGTCTTGAGGCAATGCAGTATCGCAAGTACCTCCTTCTTGAATTGAGAGTAGCGCCGCTCTGCCGAATTGAGCGTCCTACTCTCAAATCTGATCGGTCGCTCTCTACCATCTTCGCCTTTTTGAATTAGCACCCCGTCGACTGCCATTGGTCCTCCATCCGTCTCAAGGATGAAAGGTCGACCGACCTCGTCGTTGAAACACGGAGCGGCAAGGGTGACTTCTTCGGATGTGATAATATTTTTCAGGGTCTGGACGACCGATTCCCTTTGCTAAGTCCAATCGAGCGTGCCTTCTTCACGGATCATGGCTCGAATCGGTTCCGCTATCTTTGCGAACCCTTTTATGAAGATTTTCCAAAAGCCTACCACCCCCAGGAATGCCCTGACTTCTGTTGTAATTCGAAGGGGCGTAGGCCACTGTGCTATCTTATCGGTCTTAGCCGGATCCGGCTTCCTTCCATAGGCCCCACAACGAAATCCCAAAATTGCAACTTCTGGATTTGCCAAGATACTCTTCGGACCGCTAGCGGTTATGTTGTATTCTAGGAATCTTCGCAGCAGCTCTCTAATATCCTGCAGTGGTCCCAAATAAATTTTCTTATCCCCGACTAGACTTCGGTCTCATCCTTCTCTCGTGCTCCTTTGACAGGGTTGTCGTCAATGTAGGGCTCACATTTGTCTGGGAACATGTCCCCGGCCACCGCAAGCATCCTCCTCTGTGCCTCTGCTACCATATTAGTAAATCCCATAGGCGTGACCTTTATCTGCAACTGTCCTACTGGCGTATGCATAGCCGTGTAGGGCCTATCTCGTGCGTCCAGTGGGAGCTGGTCGTATCCTGAGTACAGATCTATCAAGAAGTAAATACTGCGTCCGGCATGGGATTCGGCCAGGAGATCTGCCTGTGGCAACGATCCCGCATCCCGGATGGTGACAGCATTTAACTTTTGCAGGTCCTGAATCCACCTAAGTGACTTGTTGGGCTTGCGGAATACAAACCACTTGTTGGCATAAGGAGACGCGGTGGGTTCTGCCACGAAGGAGTCCATTTTTGCCCTAAGGAGCTCTGTCACTTCTCCCGCGATCTCAAAGTCGTAGGCCGGTCCCTTGTCATTCCAACACTCATGCTCGACCGTGTGGATCCTGACTGGTGGGATCAACTTAGCGTCCAGGCGCCCTTTCTGATGGTCATTGAAAGCGAATGCTAGGTGAGATTCTTGGCATACTTCTTTGATTGCCTGTGTTTCTTTCCCCGTCAGAAAACCCTTTACTCCGATCTTCATGGTTTGGGCCACCTCATTCGGTATCCTATGTCCTTCCGCCACCTTCCTTTCTCTAATTACCCGAAGAACCTCCTCCTCCTTTTCCATGGCCTCCTCCTTAGTCATCTCGAGTAGGATGGAGACCGGCTTCGCCTTCTTTCCTACGGGCTTATACCTCCAAACGCTTCCTTCCGGGATCTTTCTTCTAAAAAATGAACGGCCGGAGTTTCTTGCGGGGCTTCCACAATGCGGGGCTGAATATTGGCCAGCTCCCCATTTAGGCAATAGCCTTTTTGGACCCTCTCCTCAAAGCAGGCGAGGGCGCCCAAGTCAACGGCCACTTTGTGGTACCTGATTGCTTTGATAAGTTGTAGTAAGTCCGGGATTTCTAGTGTGACCTTATCCTTCTTATCCCGGATCTCCCCATGCTTGGGCAAACTGGCTCCCAATTCCACCTCTGTTTCCTTCCCTACTACCATGACTCCCAGGGCGTCTTCGTCTGACCTACGTTTCTTCATTGGGAGTCTCATCTTGACCCATTCTTTCTTACTAAAAGCCTCTTCGATCATAATTTTCACCCTCTCTCTCATCCCTTCCATGCGTGCGAAAGCCCCCTTTCTAGCGCTCTCCTCAAAGGAGGGTGACCAAGTTGCGAGCTTCCCTTTTGGCGTGTCTCCCCCGGTTCCCATAAGGCGAAGCAGCTCGCCTCATCCTGTCACCGGGTCCTCTACGTCTACCATGTAGGCGTCATCGTGCAGATGCATCCCGATCATCTCTATGTTCGCACACCACGGACGCCTGAGGATCATGTCATGGTTCATTTCGTCCATGACGGTCATTCGTTGAAACGACCATATAAACTCTCTAACCCCGGCTTTAACTGCGCACTTGGTAACATAGCCGGAAAAGGGGATTTCCCCACCTGCTCCCCGGACACTCCCCGTGACCTCTCGGTTGATTGGGCACCCAGCAATTGTTGCAAAGTCCTTGCGAATGAGTGTGATTTATGCCACGGCATCTACCAGTGCATCTGTATGGTGGGTGCCAATCTGGACTTTCAGCTTCCCTACCGGTAGCGCGTGGAAACTCAGTTTCCTGCCAGGCGGTGCCCTCATGACTTCTCCGCCTTCCCGGTCTAGCAGACTTAGCCGGATATTTGCGAAGACCTTTTCTAGATCTTCCTGATCCCCGGGGGCCCTCTGAAGGTTTGCCACTTCCCGCGCTGGCTCCTCTTCCTTGCCTTCTTCGCACATCCGGTTCCTCCGCTACTTCCACCCTTTGCCTTGTTAGCAGCTGTCTTAGGCCCTTTAGTAGTCTAGGACTAGCCTGCAACATGGTCTGGAAGGAAACCGATACCATGGTCCCTAGCAACTGGCTAAGAGTGTGGTCTATCTCAGGATGGGCAAGGATAGGGATCTGGTACCTGAATTTCTTATTTGCGGATGTTACTTTGTCTACGGGCGCCTCCTCCCTAGGCTTGCCGTAAACTTTGTCCTGGTCCGATTCTGCTGGCGGATTCGACCCTTCCTGCGCGTCTTCTTACCCTCTCTCCTCGTGGCCCTAGGATTTCCCCCCGCAAAGTTCTAAAGCACCGTTTAAGGATGATATCGTGGTTAAGCATGGGACACATGCGGACAAAATGCCCGACTATCGTGCAGTACTTGCACTGCTCATTGGCCGGGTCCTTTCGATTACTACTGCGGTTGGCTATCCCTAGGGGTACGATTGCCTCTTGTGGCGGGAGGGGGGGTCGTACTGCTTGCGTTTGCGAGACCTGGGCTTGCATCACCAGTAAGGCATTCTCTACTCTCTCTATCTTGCCGTCAACCCTGTGGACCCGCTCGTGCAGGCTTTCGATTCCTTTCTTCACTTTATCTCCAGTCTTGCCTGACAAATCTATGATCTCTCCTTCTTTTAGCAGGGCCAACGAGTCAGTCACCACCATCTTCTAACAGTCATTTCGTCAAAACGGACATATTATATTTTTTGAACGAAATCAAAACTGACTTTTTTTGCCAAAATCCGGTCGGAATTTTTTGCTCCTGGGGGTCCGGCGTTCCCAAAACGCCGGACCCCCCTGGTCTATGGTTGAGACCAGATACCTTTTTTTTT